CCATCTTTGTTTACACAACATTTGTATGCCAGGTCATCCATACACTTTTTATTTTTAAAATTCTCACCTCTCTTTCTGCAGTTCTCATCAGTTTCATTCAACCACTACTTTCCCAGTCTTCTCTCAACGCATTCATTTTACCTATATTTGTTTTGTAATTTGTTATTCATTCTCTATATGATCTGTCAGCCTTACCATGTAGACCAGACAGGAAACATGACCAGATGAGCTAATTCTACTTTATTGTAAAGGCTACATTAACAAAATCTTGCAAGCCTGAAAGTACAATTCTCCCCCCGACCCCATCTCCCTTACACCCGAGAAATCGAGGGTCCTTCTGAGCCTCTTGCCCTATCCACTGTCCTGTTGCAGACTATGCTGTCTCTTATTTGACTATTCCTTAAGCAGCATCTCTGGGTCCAGTCTCTTAAGGTCTTTCCCACATACCATTATATAATCAAATCATCACCACATGCATCTTTCATACTGGTCACTCATTTATGGAATCAATCTACATTCATTTGGTACCCATTTATTCTTAACCATGTTGCTGCTTCTTTTACCACATGAACTTTTTAAGTAATTATTCCCATTGCATTCAGCTTTTATGTTTCTCCTGACATACCAAGTTCTCATTTCCGTATGCCAAGGTGGTTAGAGGCACATTTTTCTATTCATTCCTTGCAATAGACAATTTACCTTTTTACCAGTAATTGCTTAGTTTAAAATGTTTCTCTTTTCCTATGTTTAGTAAAGATTCCAGGAAAGTACACCCGTTCATTTTACTTAGTCCAGTTTTTACCATTTATATTCACCCCATTTTCTCTATCATACTGTTGGTCTTTCATATATCTTCAGTCCATACTCCTTGTTGCATTATATGTTCTACCTTAGATTCACCACAGATGATTCAGATTCTTCACCAACTTGACATCACCTGCATGCAAAACTGCAGCATGTGCATTCACATACCATATAAACACATTGGTAGCATAACCCACAAGTATTCCTTATCCATATGCATATTGAAAAAACAAGGGAACATTGACTTTTCATTGAAACTCTTCTCTATATACTTTATATAATATCTTATAATCTTACCTTGTTTTTGAAGCAGTCATTCTTTTATATGCATTTTTATTTCTCATCCGCAGCCTTGTTCGCTTCATTTCACGAATATCTTTTTTTCTACTTCCTATTAGAAGTAAGAAAGATTTCTGTGGCACTCATTTCACTTTGTTTCAAGTACTTTCCACATCCTCTTTCCTTCCACATTTTCCATTAATTGTACTGGGAAAATACTTTTTTATATAAGACTCATACTTTCTTATCCTGCAGTCATTCTAATTTCATTTCTTTCACTTCTTTCCCCGGTTATACCCTTTACTTTAAAAAAACTACAGGTAGGCTTTGCTTAATGACTGTTCATTTAGTGACTGTTCGAAGTTACAATGGCACTAAAGTGACTTATGACCAGTGCCTGAAGTTATGGTCATTGCAGCACCCCCACAGACACATGATCATCATCCAGGCGTTTGGCAACCAGCTTGCATTTACGATGGTTGCGGTGTCCCGGGGTCATGTGATTGCCATTTGCAACCTTTTGAACTGGCTTCTGGCAAGCAAAATCAATGGGGAACTGTGTGATTCACTTAACAACTGAGTGATCTGTTTAAGGACCGCAGTGATTCGCTTAATGACCGCCGCAAAAAAGGTAATAAAATCAGGTGCTGTCACACGATTCGCTTAATGACTGCATCGCTTAGCAACCTAGATTCTGGACTCAATTGTGGTTGTTAAGCTAGGACTATCTGTATCCCATATTCAAGACTTCACATTGTGGTTGAATAATTTCCCTTGTTCTTCCAGTTTTTCATTATACACAAATCATTGCTTCAGCAAGTTACAATGAAACACGGGATTGACCTTCCTTAATGATTTGGGCAGTTTGAGGTGAACAGTCACTGGGTTAATCACTGTTTCAGTTTCAAAGGGTCCAAGGTATTTAGGTCCTAGTTCCTTTGATGGTTGTGACAATTTCAAGTTTTTGGTTGAAAGAAATACTTTGTTGCCAACTTTCCATTTCTTTTCAGGCGCCCTCTTTCAGTGTGCATATTTCTTGTAACTTCCTCTTGCCTTTTCCAATGCCTTTTCTATAATAGGCCACAAGTGTTTCATCTGCTTAACCCATTCGTCTCCCGATGAGACACCAGTCCTTTCACATGGAAGTTCGGGAATTGGTGCGAAGTCTTGACCCGTGGCTATTTTAAAAGGGGTAAACCCAGTACTATTGTGCATCGCATTATTATAAGAGGCTTCAGCAAAAGGCAACAGATCAACCCAATTATCTTGATTTACAAAACATCTTAAATATTGTTCTAAACCAGCATTCCGACGTTCAGACACCCCGTCTGTCCGGGGATGATAACTCGAACTCAGACCCTGTTTGGCTGCGATGAGTGTCATGAAAGTTTGCCAGAATTTTGAGGTGAACTGAATTCTGCGGTCGCTGATTATTTGATCAGAGACGCCGTGCAAGCAATATATATGTTGAATAAACATTTTTGCTAATTGGGTTGCTGACGGGATTGCCGTGCACACTATGAAATGAGTTTATTTTGAAAACAGGTCCGTGACCATCCAAACTACGGTCTGCTTTTTGCTTTCAGGGAGATCTACAATAAAGTCCATAGCACACTCTTTCCAGGGCTTGGTGGGACTTGCCACGGGTTGTAGCAAGCCCATTGGTTTTCCCCCGTGCTTCTTTGCCATAGCACAAGTAGGGCAACTGGCTACGTACTTGGCCACATCTTTTCTGATTGCCAGCCACCAAAATTGTCTCCAGAGGAGATGTAGGGTTTTCACAACCCCAAAATGTCCAGCAGTTTTGTTGTCATGACCCCTTTCCAGCACTGTTTTCCTAGCTTCAGCTGTACATACAGTCTATTTCCCATCCACCAAGCTCCCTACCTTTCTGTTAGGGAGTCTTTGTTCTGTAGGAACCACTCGTCTTTTTGCAAATACAAATTTAGCTCCTTTAACAGTTCCTGTTCTGGCTCTTCTCCTTTACTGTGCCTCTGGTGACTGCTGCTATTGCATCCTGGCAAATTGGGATCACTGCTGCCACGATCATCTCTCTCTGGCTGTTGTGTTGCGGCAGTCAAGAGAGGGCACCTGCTAAGAAATTCTTCCCCCTCCCGGGATGTATTTCTAGGTATATTTAAACCGGCTGAAAAATTGAGCCCACCGGACCTGTTCTGGAGACAATTTCCATGGCAATTTCAAAGCCTCTAGGTTCTTATGATCAGTCCAAACTTCAAAAGGTGACTCAGCTCTCTCCAAGAGGTGCCTCC